GCACGTAGTCCCCCTGCATCCTGAGCTGCCGGGACAGACACAGCGGGGCCCCTGCCCCGAGGCCCAGCAGAGCCGAGAGGCCCAGCAGAGCCAGGCCGGACATGGCGGTGGCGGCTTCTGATGGGAACGGCCAGCGGGTGGGCCCAGGTAGGGTGAGCCAGGCTGGGAGGGGTGGAGGATTTGTTTAGCAAAACCCTCCTCCCCTGCCAAGCCCCGGGGGCCCCTGGAGACGGCAACCCCTCCCTGGGCCCGAGGTTTGCACACGTCAGGGTCTGTTGTCCTAATGCGACCAGGCCCTCTGGCCGACAGTGACCTGGGCAGGCAGGCTCTGAGCAGCTACTGCCCGTGACCTCATTACCTGCAGGTGCCCAAGCCCCTCACCCCACCCACTCCTGGAGGGGAGGAGGGACACCCAGGATTTTGCCCGCAGGTCCTGGCTCTCCAGCTGCCTGTGGGAGGGGCTTGGAGCGGCCCCTGCCTCGGGAGTAGGCACCGAACACTGGTCTCTCCCACCCTGGGGAGGGCCATCCGCAGTCAGGAGGGGCTCCATCTGCATCTCAGGGGCAGGCAGAGGGGGGGCCGGGGGGCCCCGCCTGCCCACCTGTGGCTGGGGTGGGGCCATGCCTCTCAGCCTGGGAACTGGGCACCGTGGGGTCTGGGAGGTTCCGCCACCAGGGCCGGTGGCCTGGGAGCTTTGGGAGCCCTGTGGCTGGCTGTGCCCCACCCGGCTCTGGGCCCCTGACAGAGCAGGTGCCTCCCTCTGGGCCCTCAGGGGGTTGCATGCAAAGGAGGGAGAAAAGCTGTAACCAAATGGGCTGCAGCGGCTGAGGTGGCACCAGGTGTGCAGAGGGCGGTGGCAACGCCGTCTCCCCCGCACCTGGGCCCCGCTGACCCCGTGCTGGGGGAGGAGGTGCACCCAGAGGAGCTGGGGGAGGGGCTCCAGGCATTTCAGCCCTGGCTGGGCCTGGCAGACGTTTACAGGAAGTGCCTCCACTGGCCTGTGGGGAGGGCCCACACTGCTCGGCACACGCAGGACATGCACACGACACCCACAGGTGCCCCCCCCCACACACACACAATGCACTGGACCTGCACACCCATGCTACACACATGCAGTGCATTTTACATGCACACCCGTGCTACACACACACACACAGTGCGCTGGACCTGCACACCCATGCAGTGGATTCCTGCACCTGCATGCTACACACGCACAGACCACTGCACCTGCATGCTACACACTGCAGTACATGCGTGCAGTGCACCTGCACACACACGTGCAGCCTGCGCTCTCTGGCCCCCGTGGCCCCAGGCTGTTCTCCCAGCCAGTCCTACACTGTCATTGGCCTGTGCTGGCACCACCTGGGGCTCGGCTCTGCTTGGCGTGGGAGCAGCAGCGGAGCCGGCACTGCATTGGGCCCTGATATTGGGGCGCAGTGATCAAGGGGACCCTCCCCGACACTGTGTGGCAGAGCAGCCCCACCCCCCTGGGCCGGCCCAGGCCCCGCCCGCCCAGCCCAGCCCCTCAGGTGCTCTGTGTCTGTCTTCTCATCAATAAAATGATAGTTCCGTGACCTCGGTAGAGGGGGGACCATGGTGGGCGGGGCTGACTCTCCCGGTGGCTGCCTTGCCCTGCAGTCCTGGCTGTGGGCTCAGCCGCCCCCTCTCCCTGGTAAGCAGATGCTGGGCACACGCCACACCCCCTTCCTGGAGTGCAGAATAAGCTTCTGTAATTGTAATTTATTGATCACCCGTATTGCAGTGTTCAAGGGTCCCCGCGAGCTCACACTTGTGCTCACACTCGTGTGCGACGCTGCACGGCAAAGCTGTGGCACCAGGGTCCTGAGGTTACAGTGAAGAGCCAGTGGGCAGGCCAGGCTGGGTGAGCCCGTCTGCCAGCCCGTCAGGCAAGAGGTCCAGGCCCCGCTCTGTTGTGCATCCTGGGTCTCTGGGCTCCATGGGGACGGGCAGCACGGGGCAGGGAGAGGGGATGCAGCAGTGCTGGGTGCCAGGGAGGCCAGCGGGCCCAGCAGGCGGGGGCTCCGGGGCTGAGCTGTGCAGGCTCACAAGCAGCTGCCTGGGGGAGCAGTGTGGTCGCAGGAGGCTGCAGCCGTGCGGAGGGCATTTGGGCCCCGGCTAAGGAGATGGGGGGCAGGGAACGAGACGCAGCGCTAACGCTGCCCAGGCTCCCTCCCTGCCCCAGGGACAGCCAGCCCACCTGCCACCGACACCAGGACCCAAAGGGCCCGAGAAGCACACACTCGCTGACCGTCGGCGGGTGAGGAGTCTGCTCTCCAGGGACCTGGGACTCTCCGGCTGCGCAGACTGGACTCACAGGTGAGGGCAGCCTCCTGGGCTTTTGCGTGAACGCTGATCCTGCCCCACCTTCCCTCCTTCTGCCCTTCACCCACCCACCCGGCCGGCCGGCGCCAAAAAACTCCGTCTGCAGCCCACGTGGGCCGCGCCAGGCCCATGGCTCCCCACAAGCTCAGCGGGTGGGGGAACAGCGACGTTTCTGCTCCGGGAACCCCCAGAAAGCTCCACGGTGGGACTGCTCTGGGGCAGGGGAGCCGGGCCGCTGGCTCCTAGGGCAGGTCCAGCAGGGCGTGCTCGGCGTAGAGCTTCTGCGAGATGTCGTACACGTGCTCGATGAAGGGCAGGGCCTCGCCCAGCATGGCCACGGCCTGCTCGGTGGACCCCACGTTCATGGCCTCCAGGAAGACCTTGCGCGTGGGCAGCGTGCAGAAGGCCACGGTGACGGCCCGGCGGATGATCCAGGGGTGGTAGGCGGCCAGCGAGGCGTTGTAGG